AACACTTTACTTCCAACAGTCTGCTAGTAGTCATCCCTCCTCAAATTTCCGAGAAGCACCCTGACATGTCCAAAACAAAACCCATTTTCTCCCTCTATATGTATTCATCTTTCTGTATTCTCCAACCTTTCTTCATTTAACAAACAAGTATGTTCCAAGACCTATGATAGACACCGAGAATACAAAGACATTAACTGTTCAAAAGGAACTCATAGTCTAGGAAGAGACAATGAAAATAATAATATAATCCAATTCCTATAAAGATTGAGATATGCGCAAGGTGCTAAAGAAGCATAAGAATAGAAAGGGGGAATTAGGGAAGATACATTAGAGGATTTAATGCCTAACTAGAAACTTAGCGTTAACCAGAGACAACCAGCTCAAAAAAGGATCATGGTATCAACAGGCTATCAGAAACAATTTAGAACATAAAATACAAAGCAAGGAGTGGCAGCCATAATCCAGATCATACAGCACCTTAAAGGCCATATTAACAAACTTACACTTCATCCTGAGTGCAACTGGGAACTTCAAGAGTTTTAAGCAAGTGAATGATGTGGTTAAGGCTCCTATATCAGATATTTCTGGCAGTTGTGTGGAAGGATGAAGGTTAGAGGCAGTTATAAGGCTAGCTGAACAGTTCAGGCAAGAGGAAAGCCTGCACAAGGGGCAGTGGTGGTAAGGTTAGAAAGAAACATGAGAAAAAATAATTAGGAAGCTAAGTGGGTGGGCCTTCCTCATTAAATGGATATTCAGAGGCCACGGTCAAGAAGGAGTAGTGATTTAAAATGGCTCTTGGCAAAGTTTCAAGCTTGGCTGAAAGAGCACCCACAAATCAATGAGTAAGAACAGAAATCCAACAGAAAAACAGGCAAAGGCTATAATCAGGTAATCCACAGAAAAATAAAAGGCCATTAAACACATTTTAAAAGCTCAGTTTCACTGGTAATCAGTTCAGTGCAAATTACAGCAATGAGATACCATCCCCACCCCCAACTCCCCCAGAAAAAGATAAATAAAATTTTTAAAGATCAATGATATTTGATGCTAGTGAAAGTGTAGGAATAGAAACATCTATACAATAATAGTGGAGCATAGCTTGAAACACCTGTTGGGGTTGCAATTTAATAGTATATATCAACACTTAAAGCACACATTCCCTTTGAGCCAAAAATTCTACTTCTACAAATATAGCCTTCACACTTATAAAGAAACCTCTAGATTACAGATGACTTAAACAAGAATATGGACACAACCTAAACATCCATCCTTAGGGACAGATTAAACCAATTATGGTAATCCCTACCACAGACTAGTACAACACAACCTAAAATACATATGAAGCAAAATGGAAAGGTTTCCAGAATACACATATTTTAAGGGTAAAAATAAATCACAGAACAATATTCACAATATATTCAAATTTATGTTTAAAAAAATAAAAGCCCATATATGTCTGTGAATGCACAGAAAAAAGTCTAGGAGAACACAAATAAAACTTCTATTTGGAGAGAAGAGGGTGGAAAGGAGGAAAGGATGGGACAGATAAAAAGACACGCACTTTTTACTCTAGCTAAGTGCGTATTTTGATATCCTCTCTCCAAACATGAATTACTTTCATAATTTTTAAAAATGAAAAACATAATGTGTGTGACATGTGGCATGTAACTAGCTAACAAAGCAATCTGATAAGTAAAATAAATCCAATGGCTTTTCTAAAGCCACAGCCCAAGCTAATAGTGTTTAATAAAGACTACTACTAAACATCTCTTTTGTTACTATTCTCACATATGCTTTACACATTGCCCAAAGGGCCTGTGTCCCTTGCTGGGAGGTGGAAGGGCAAACCCACTTTCAGGCACTCTTGCTACTCAAAGTGGCACTCAAAGAATTTTTCTTTGCAATGCAAGAATCATATTAATTGATGTTTTACACATCCTTATGTCTTTAAGGTTCTCCAAAACCTTTTAAAACCTTAGCCAAAGCAGTCTTGAAAAAGAAGAACAAAGCTGGAAGTATCATAATCTCAGATTTCAAGATATACTATAAAGTTGTAGTAATCAAAACAGTATGGTACAGGCCAAAAATAGACACATAGATCAATGGAACAGAGTCCAGAAATAAACCCACACTTATATGGTCAACTGAGTCACAACAATGGGGAAAAGACAGTCTCTTCAACAAATGGTGCTGGGAAAACTGGACAGCTACACGCTAAGCAACAGAACTGGACCACTTTGTTACACAAAAACAAACCTGAAATGGATTAAGAACCTAAATGTGGGGGCGCCTGGGTGGCTCAGTCGGTTAAGCATCTGCCTTCAGCTCAAGTCATGATCCCGGGGTCCCGGGTTGGAGCCCCACATCTGGCTCCCTGCTCAGCGGGAGTCTGCTTCTCCCTCTGTCCCTGACCCTGCTTGTGCTCTCTCTCGTTCTGTCTCTCAAATAAATAAATAAAATCTTAAAAAAACAAAAAACAAGAAACCTAAATGTGAGATCAGAAACCATAAAATTCCTAGAAGAAAATAGAGGCAGTAATTTCTTTGACATTGGCCACAGAAACATTTTTTCTATGTGTCTCTGTTTTTCTATCTTTCTACTTTTCTATATGCCTCCTCTGGAAAGGGAAATAAAAGCAAAATTAAACCATTGGGACTACACCAAAATAAAAAGCTTCTGCACAGCAAAGGAAACCATCAACAAAACAAAAAGGCAACCTACTGAATGGGAGGAGGTATCTGCAAATGATATATCTGATAAGGGGTTAATATTCAAAATATATAAAGAACTTAGAGAACTCAACACCAAAAAATGAAATAATCTGATTTTAAAAAATGGGCAGAGAACCTGAATAGCCATTTTTCCAAAGAAGACATCCAGATGGCCAACAGACACATGAGAAGATGCTCAACATCACTCATCATCAGGGAAATGCAAATCAAAGCCACAACGAGGTATCACTTCACACCTGTCGGAATGGCTAAAGTCAAAAAGACAAGAAATAACAAATGTTGGCGAGGATATGGAGAAAAAGGAACCCTGGTGCACTGTTGGTGAGAATGCAAACTGGTGCAGTCACTGCGGAAACCAGTATGGAGGTTCCTCAAGAAATTAAAAATAGAATTACCCTATGATCCAGTAATTCCACTACTGGGTATTTACCCAAAGAAAATGAAAACACTAATTTGAAAAGATAAATGCACCCCTATGTTTACTGCAGTATTATATACAATAGCCAAAATATGGAAGCAACCTAAGTGTCCATCCATAAATGAATGGATAAAGATGTGGTATATATACATATATATACAATGGAATATTAGCCATGAGAAAGAGATCTTGCCATTTGCAACAACACGGATGGACCTAGAGAGTAAAATGCTAAGTGAAATAAGTCAGTCAGAGAAAGACAAATACCATATGATTTCACTCATGTGGAATTTAAGAAACAAAACAAAGAAAAAAGAGACAAACAAAAAAACAGACTCTTAAATAGAGAACAAACTGATAGTTGCCAGAGGGGAGGTGAGTGGGGAGAGGGGTAAAATAGATAAAGGGGATTAAGAGTCCACTTACCTTGAGATAAGCACTGAGAAATGTATAGAATTGTTGAATCCCTTTTTTAAAAAAAACTACAATATTTACCATTCTTGACATAAATAACTGTAATAAAATTTAAGTGACTGAAAAAAGAATCAGGGCAGAGGGTGAGAAAGAAATATTTTGACCCGTAATTTAACTAAAACTTGGCTTTTATTCACTGTTTCTTAACATAGTGTACTCTTTCAACATTTTCTCAAGAGCATAAACTATCTTCGGAATTTTCCCTCTTTGTTATATAACAAATATTTCCTTATAACAAATGCTTTCTGATGACTGTTTTTAACATTCTTTTACTTCTGAAACCAAATCTCTCTAAGTAACTTTCAAGTGGTTTTTTGGCCCATCATCATTTTCTCCAATGTCGAAGGATGACTAATACAGCAAAGTGAGGGGAAGCTTCACTTCTGAAGGTAAATAAAAAATAGCAATGAATATTTGCTTCCAGTAGAGCACTCCTTTCATATCTAGGGTGAAGAAAGAGGGTACACATTCATTTTGACTAGTGGGTGATTATAACTGAGACTTTTTTATGACTTGCTGTTATGGGCTGAAGCGTGTCCCCACCCCTGCCATATTCATATTTAAATCCTAACCCCAGTACCTCAGAATGTGATTTCATTTGGAGACAGGGTCTTTAAAGAGGTAATTAAGTTAAAATGAGGTCATCAGGGTGGGCCCTAATCCAATGACTGGTATCCTCATAAGAGGAGGAAAGGAAGACACAGACACACAGATCATGTGAAGACACAAAGAGAAGACAGCCATTTACAAGTCAAGGAGAGAGGCCTCAAAAGAAACTAAGCCCGCTGATACCTTGATCTTGGACTTCTAGCATCCAGAGCGGTAAGAAAATAAGTTTCTGTTGTTTAAGTCACTGTAATGAACTGAATGATGTCCTCCCAAATTCATAAATTGAAGCCCTAATCCCCAATGTCATTGTATTCAGAGATAGGGCCTTTAAGGAGGTAATAAAGGTTAAGTGAGGTCATAAGGGTCAAGTCCTAACCCAAAAGGACTAGTGTCCTTGTAAGAGGAAGAGAAACCAGAGATACCTCTCCTTCCCCACAGGCACAGAGAAGAGGCCATGTGAGGACACAGCAAAAAGGCGGCCATCTATAAGCCGAGGAACGAGGCCTCACTAGAAACCAACCCTGATGGCACTTCAATTTTGGACTCAGAGCTCCCAGGATTGTGAAAAAATAATTTTCTATTGTTTAAGCCACCCAGTCTGTGGTACTTTGTAAGGGAAACTCTAGCAGATTAATACACGTGTCAATCCAGTAATTTAAAAAGAATTTTTTTTTCCATATCGGAGAAGACAAAGCATTTCAGTGCCCCTATTAAAACAACAAAACTACAGCCCAGGTGACGGAAGCTTTTTATAACATCTTTCTTACCTTCTTAAAGAATGTCGCAGGTGCCATTTCAGATCCATTCAGTGTTCGTAAGAGGAACATTGGCCAAGATGACGCATTCATCTGATACCCTATTTTATAAAATAAATCAGCGTGAAAAAGTCTCCCTGTGACATTACAGCAAGTTGGTATAAAAAAGAGGTTTTGTTTACCATTCTTCTCCAGAGAATGACTTTCTTACTGAGAAACTAAGGACATAGCTAAGAGAAGCAGATGCACCCTCCAATCAGTTCTACTGTACCCACTGTACTACTTGGCAGCAATGCTACAGTAGGGGTAGAAACTCTCATTTTAGAGAAGCCACTAGCTAGAGGTCACCGACATACATGTATGTATGTTAGGAATGGGCCATAATACTAGGGGTGATCCAAGCCAAAACCCACAAGAGCTTCCAGTCCCCACCAACAGCCACACAAGCACAGCAAAGGCTGCAAAAGACTTCCAGCCCTTCTTTTTCCTTAGAGTCCCTGCCTTCTTTCCTTTCAGAAAGACAGTTTCTTGTGAAACTCAGCAAACGTACACTTATGATGCATTTCACTGTATATAAATTTCACCTCAAAATTTAAAAAAAACTGTAAATAAACACTGACCTCTAGTTAATGATATGCATGCTAAAGTATTTAGGGGAAATGTACTAACATCAAAAACTTCCTCTGAAATACATTTAAAAATAAGATGGATTGATGAATCGATAGAAAGGCAGATAGAGGGCGCCTGGGTGGCTCAGTCATTAAGCATCTGCCTTCGGCTCAGGTCATGATCCCAGGGTCCTGGGATCGAGTCCCACATCGGGCTCCCTGCTCGGCAGGAAGCCTGCTTCTCCCTCTCCCACTCCCCCTGCTTGTGTTCCTGCTCTCGCTGTCTCTCTCTCTGTCAAATAAATAAATAAAATCTTAAAAAAAAAAAAAAAAGGCAGATAGATAAGGGATAAAGCAAGCATGTAAAATGACAATGGCAGAACCTAGGTGATGGGTATGTGGGTGTTCACTGTAAAATATTTTCACCTTTTCTGTATGTTTGAAATTTTTCATACAATGTTAGGAAAAAAGATAGCTCTCACTTTAGCAATCTTTACACACACTAAACAAGATCTTCTCTTAGAATTTGTATCAGATGAAATCAAAATACACTCAACAGGTGTCTTTTTTAGAGATCTCATCAATTAATAGTGAGTATCACAGCATCTGGCACATGCAACAGGGGGTAGAGGTCTGCTAGTTGTATTGCTTTATTGCAATCCGTTTCATGCAACACTTGCCTGCACTAATGCCAGAATTAAAGAGAACTTGCCAGCATTCCTGATGGATACATGCATTAAGATAGGGAGGCACATGAATCACTGGCAATCCCTGGCAATAGGTCCATCAGTAGGATTAACCATACAAAAAAGTTCAGACAGAAAGTCATCCTATAATAATCCTATACCAAAATCCCCTTAATCTGAGGGGGGAAAAATTGGGGGAAGAAGGGGATTTATTATATACTCCTTTATAATAAGTCAGTATTATTAGTGATATCTAATAAATAATCATCCACAAAATGGATTTGCCACATTGTGGTTAGAATATTGCATAAAAATAATTCTCTGGTCCTTATGCCTTTCTCTTAACCCCCATCTTATCCTATTACATCATGTAATCATCATCATTGCTATCATTATCATCATCATCATCTTAATTTGACATTTTTCTTATTTCTTTAATTGCCTAGGGACACCTAGGTGGCTCAGTCGGTTAAGCAGCTGCCTTCGGCTCAGGTCATGATCCCAGGGTCCTGGGATCGAGTCCTGCATTGGGCTCTCTGTTCGGCGGGGAGCCTGCTTCTCCCTCTCCCTCTGCCTGCTGCTTCCCCTGCTTGTGCTCTCTCACTCTCTGTCAAATAAATAAATAAAATCTTTAAAAAAAAAATCTTTAATTGCCTGAAGTCAAACATCGATTAAAAGGCCAAAAATAGATGAAAGTGCATATAAAAACTCAAACACAGATAAAACTAATCTACAATGTTAGGAAGTCTAGACAGTGGTACCTTTGGGAATGGGAGGTTTATGATGGGATCAGCAGGAGTGGGGCTTCTGGGGTGCTGATAATATTCTGTTTCTTGATTTGGGTGATGGTTATATGGATGTGTTCATTTATAAGCTGTACACTTACAAACTGTATACTTTTCTGTTTGCATGCTAAAACTTTAAAAAAGCTTTTAAATAATAACCTTTAAGGTTTAAATAACCTTTTAAAAAAGAAAACCAAGTAAGTTGTGTTATAAAATGGAAACTGAACTATTCAAAGCACCTAATGAGCAAATTGGCAAAAATTGTCTATTTTTAATATGTACTATCAAAATATATATTAATCAGCATGTACTGCTATGTATTTCATGTTTTTAATTAAAAAACTCTAAAAGTCATTTGAAAAAAGAATTATCATAAATCTGGCTATGTGTTTGAAATGTTGGCAATCACGGCAGTTATGCTTCCTTTAAACAAAATTCCAAAAACATATTATCATTTGTAAACAAATCAAATCCAAACAGGGAAGCACTAAGCCTCAGGTTTACACTTCTGTCTCTTACAGAATTCTGTAGGATATAAGAGATATTTAAAACATAAATGGTATGAAGAAAGAAAAGAAGGCAAAAGGCAGAAAAGACACACACCCTAAACCACCTTCTTGGAATAACACATCTCTAATTAGTTATTTTTTAATATTTTAAACCAAATTAGGAATAATTAACAATTAGAGCAAGAAAAGTATAAAAATATATTGCTAAAAGAGTGGTAATTATTAATATCTTAAATTTTGGGTTCTGAGGAAATTTTTAACTATAGTAGGAAACAAAAAGAAATCCATTCTTTCATTGTGCTTTACACTAGAGAATTTTCATTTTCAGCATTGTAAAGAAGAAACCAAAACTAATATCTACCATTCACTCAAGACTACAGAAGTAATAGGGACGCCTGGGTGGCTCAGTTGGTTAAGCATCTGCCTTCAGCTCAGGTCATGATCCTGATCCCGGAGTCCCAGGATCAAGCCCCACATCGCATTGGGCTCCCTGCTCAGTGGAGAGTCTGCTTCTCCCTCTGCCCCTCACCCCGCCCTCATGGTCTCTCTCAAATAAATAAAATCTTAAAAAAAAAAAGAAGACTGTAGAAGTAATAAAGGAAATCACTTATTTTCTACAGAATAACAGACTACATCTAAAAATATTTTGGGGGGCCAGGCTTTTTTTTTTAAGATTTTATTTATTTATTTGAAGAAGAGAGAGAGAGCACAAGCAGGGGGAGCAGTAAGCTGAGGGAGAGGGAAAAGCAGGGAGAGGGAGGAATAGGCAGAGGGAGAAGGGCAGGGAGCCTAATGCAGGACTCTGGGCTCAATCCCAGGACCCTGAGATCATGACCTGAGTCAAAGGCGGATGCTTAACTGACTGAGCCACCCAGGTGCCCCCAGGGGTTTTGTTTTTTTTAAAGATTTATTTATTTGGGGGGGGAGTGCACATGAGCACAGGAGGGAGGGGCAAAGGGAAAGGGAGAAAGAGTCTCAAGCAGACTCTGAGCTGAGAACAGAGCCCAACGTAGGGCTCTATCTCATGACCCTCAGATCACAACGTGAGCTGAAACCAGCAGTTGTATGCTTAACCAACTGTGCCACCCAGGCACCCCCGGAGTACATCTGAATATTAAGAGAGAACAGGGATGGGGCGCCTGGGTGGCTCAGATGGTTAAGCGTCTGCCTTCGGCTCAGGTCATGATCCCAGGGTCCTGGGATCGAGCCCCGCACCGGGCTCCCTGCTCAGCGGGGAGTCTGCTTCTCCCTCTGCCTGTCACTCCCCCTGTTTGTACTCTCCCTCTCTCTCTCCCTCTGGCAAATAAATAAATAAAATCTTTTAAAAAGAGAGAGAGAGAGAGAACAGGGATGCCTGGGTGGCACAGTTGGATTTTTGGTTTCCTCCCGGGTTGTGGTCTTGGGGTCGTGGGGGTCGTGGGATCGAGTCCTGTGTCGGGCTCTGCACCGAATGCTGAGTCTATAAAGTTTCTCTCCCTCTCCCTCTACCCCTCCCTGCCTTGTGCACACACGCTCTTTCTCTCTTTAAAATAAATAAATAAATCTTTTAAAAATAAATAAATATTAAGAGAGAACAAATTTGCCCGAAACTGGAGTCACATACTTTTTAGCTTTCAAAAACTTGGTCAAAATTGAGAGTTTTGTACTTAAAAACCTTTGCTCATAAAGTTCCATCAATCTCCTTTTCAAAGATCTAAAGGTACTGACCCCTACCCCTCACTATGATTTCTTCTCATTGTAGTTATAATGAAACTTCCAAGTTTGAAACTGGGGTCTGGATGTGGAATCATACCCTTCACCTGGGCTCCCCGCCATGCCAAAAATGCTGAATGGCTCAACAGACAATAATGAGGGAGGAAGTGACTCAATAAGAAATGCTACAAACTTCTCCCCCAGAAGAGTTTCTGAATCTGCATGTGTGACCCAGTAGAGCTGCTTCTGACATTTCAAGTTTGAAGACAGCATGTGTCTTGCCCTGGAGTGGAGGACCTTCAGCACACATATGCCACCTGTGTACTGACACGAAACTCTGTAACATATGGTACTGAGTTGATCTCTCATACATTCCCCACAATAACCATCTATTTGCAAAAATGCCTGCAAGAGATTTCTAAAAGGCTACTTCAGGGGCATATGGCTGGCTTGGTCAGTAGAGCAAGCGACTTGATCCTGGGGTTGTGAGTTCGAGCCCCACATTGGGTGTAAAGATTACTTAAAAATCAAATCTGGGGCGCCTGGGTGGCTCAGCTGGTTAGGCAGCTGACTCTTGATTTCGGCTCAGTCCTGATCTTGGGTCATGAGATCAAGGCCCACATGGGGCTTGATGCTCTGTGCAGAGCTCCCTCCCCCTCTGCCCCTCCCCCTGCTCACACACGCTCTCTCTCTCAAATAAAAAATAAAACCTTTAAAAAAGTAAAATAAAATCTTAAAAATAAATAAATAAAAGGCCACTTGAAACTTTTTCTACTGAATATTACATTAATAAGAATATGTTACTTTAAAATTTGTTTATCCTTACCCAGTGGAGGCTGAAGTAAGTCCCCTTCCTTTTCACATGTCCCAATAGGCTGTATGTCTGGAGAATCGACAAGTCTCCAAAAATCATTTCTGTTGTCACTACCATCCAGTCTTAAACGTAGCCTGGCACCAGTAATTCCAACAACCGTGGCTATACAGATTGAAGTCATATTGCGAGGGTCATGGGCTTCCAATTTCATACCAACTTTGAAGTCATTAGCTGGTGGAACCTTGGACTGTACATGTTACATATGTGTGTGTACGTGCACACACACATACACACACACACACACACACAAATAAAGTTTTGTTAAAATGCATCAACTGTAAGAAAAACAAACGGTCAATTATGTTACCAGAATACCTGTGAAATGTTTTAAGTAACAGTCATAGCAGATGGTGAGCAAAAGAACTATAAGGGTCAAGGAAAAGATCTTCTCCAAACCCTTTCCTTGGCTTGACATGCAGCATAAAAACACTGCCCATTGCTGGTCTTATTCCTTTGTCCACTTCCAGGCAACCCAAATACAGCCTATAAAATGTACCCTTAGTGGCTTTCTAAAATAAGAATCTGATTAGGCCATTCCCCTTGAAATAAACCAACTGGCAGCTCACTACTGCCTAAGTCCAAGTCCTCAATACAGTTTAAGAGCCCCCACACCTTTAACCTTATTCCCACACTATCACCTCTACCCACTTTGTCCTCCAGCCACTCCATGCTATCCCTCAATACTCAGGTTCTTTGTACATCCATGTGCCTTTGCTTTGGATGTTCTGCCTGGAATATCCTTCCCCTCATTCCAACCATCTCAGATATCACCTCTTCTGTGAGCACTCCCAGTATAGAGTTATCATACTTTTCATAATTAATTATTTACATGTCTGTCTTTCCCTCCAGATGGACAATCATAAGGGCTTAGTATACCTGACACAGAGTAAATTCTTAATGAATGAATGCAAATAAACCATCTGGCCCTTAAGTGGCATTACCACAATCCCATTATCTCCTCACACTGCTAGAACCTAACAATCACACAGACATCCCTCAACAAATTAACAGTTCACATTAATATATACAACATCTATACAATTTTGGCATACCTGTCTGAAACACTCTGAAGGGGCACTCAAAGATCCAGTCTCTTTCAAGTAATTTTCCCAGTGGAAATCATCTGAAAAAAATATATATATACACAAAATAGGGGGTTTTTCAGTATATATATGTATACTAACTTTTAGGAGTAAAATGGGACTTTAGTTCCATATCTCGTTTAAAAAGGACTTCCTAAAGAGCGGATTCAAATTTCCTGATCTGCATTTGATTACCAGCATAGAAATAAAAAGACAACTTTCTGATAATAATGGCTCTGATATAATTACACTCCAGATCTTCTCCATGTAATGAGGAATTAGCACAATGATTCTAAAAATGTAGACTCTAAGAACAACTAAAGGATTTTTTTTTATAGAGTAATAGCAAATTCTACTCATCTGTCTCTAATATAAATTTATTCAAGACATGTGTATACTCGGGGTGCCTGGGTGGCTCAGTCATTAAGCATCTGCCTTCAGCTCAGGTCATGATCCCAGGGTCCTGGGATTGAGCCCCGCATTGGGCTCCCTGCTCAGTGGGAAGCCTTCTTCTCCCTCTCCTGCTTCCCCTGCTTGTGTTCCCTCTCTCGTTGTGTCTCTCTCTGTCAAATAAATAAATAAAATCTTAAAAAAAAAAAAAAAGACATGTGTATACTCAAGACCATTTCATCCCATTAATGTGAAGCCACTTCTTTTTTTCATGGAGAACTAAAGGTGTTTAGGTATGTGGTCTAACAGAATCTTACCTCTGCAATGCTTTATGGAAAGAAAAAAATCTGAGAACCAGAGTTGTTTCTCAATTGACTATTAGATCTCCATACATGGTATCAAGAATATGGTGGCAGAACAAAGCAGTAAACCAGTCATCAGTACAGTCATGATATGAATTATTTTAATGATCTATATTTTCTACAAATGCTTACTGTCCCTTCTCTCACTCAGTCTTCATGATGTATTACAATGGTATTGAAGGTCATAAAGGTATTGAAGGTACTTTGCCTGGCTTGCACCCTTCAATTCAGTGTTCCAGTCAGACTGCCAAGACACTGAGAAAATGACTTGATAGCAGTATCAAAGGTACTATTAATTCATACAAAGCTTTTTTGTTTTTTTTAAAGATTTATTTATTTATTTTAGACAGAGCGAGAGCGAGAGAGAGAGAGAGAGCACGAGCATGTGCGGGCGTGTGTGCAAGGAGAGGCAGAGGGGAGAGAGAAGCAGACTCCCGGCTGAGTGGGGAGCCCATGTGGGGCTCAATCCCAAAACCCCAAGATCATGACCTGAGCTGAAATCAAGAGTCAGACGCTTAACCAACTGAGCCACCCAGGCGCCCCATAATTCATACAAAGTTTAATTCTCATCAACCACCTATGCTCTTGTTTAATTTCCTCACACTTACTGGGTTTGACAGATTCCCTTCCTGGGGGAATCCGAATTACCAGCCTCTTACACATCCTTCCAAGGATAGAATACTTATACACACATACACGTACACACAAATGGAGTGCTGTTAAATGATTAACAACCAGCTTTCCAGAAAATACAAATAAAAAGCCTGACTGGTAGTGTTTGCAGATTTCTATGGTATAAATACTACCACCATGGCTGATCACAAGGTGACAGGGTGAAGTCGTCAACTACAAAGCTGGGAAGAGATGTGCACACGTGGCTCTCCCAAGCTGGTGTGAGCCAGCTTCAGCATACCACTGTTATGTGTGTTTATGCATTTACATGTGTATGTACACATATTACATATGGCATTAAGCATGTCATACATAACACTGTGCACCCTGCTTTTTATAACGATAAATCTAAGAGATTATTCCATTTAAAAAAAATAACTGGGTTTAATTCTGCTTGTAGATATGAAGCTAGCACTACCACAGTGCTTAATGGCATGCAGCAGAATGTCAAGATTATGGGCTCTAAGGTCGAACCTGCCTTCTTCCAGTCTGGCTCTGCTTCTTCCAAGCTATGTGACCTAAGCAAGTCATTTCAGTTTCTCAGCCTCAGTTCCTACAAAATGAGGAAAAGTAATATATACGGCACAAGGTATTTTGAGAATTAAGTGTTGAAGCATACATATGTCACTCAATAAAAAGCATGCATTATTATTCTAAAACTAAAAGTCATACTTGTGCCTCAATTTATTAACACTGGATAGCTTTGTCAAAAGTGAAAACTGGGGGACACCTGGGTGGCTCAGTCATTAAGCGTCTGCCTTGGGCTCAGGTCATGATCCCAGGGTCCTGTGATCAAGCCCCGCATGGGGCTCCCTGATCTGTGGGAAGCCTGCCTCTCCCTCTCCCACTCCCCCTGCTTGTGTTCCCTCTCTCACTGTGTCTCTCTGTCAAATAAATAAATAAAATCTTTAAAAAAAAAAAGTGAAAACTGGGGTGCCTAGGTGGCTTAGTCGGTTAAACGTCTGCCTTCAGCTCAGGTCATGATCTCAGGGTTCTGGGATCAAGCCCCACATTGGGCTCCCTGATCAGTGAGGAATCTGCTTCTCCCTCTCCCTCTGCCTCTCGCCCTGGCTCATGCTCTCTCCTTCTCTATCTCTCTCTGTCAAATAAATAAATAAAATCTTAAAAAAAAAAAAAAAAAGTGAAAACCGAGGGCGCCTGGCTGGCTCAGTCCATAGAGTGTGGGACTCTTGATCTCAGGGTCGTGAGTTCAAGCCCCACAGTGGGCATGGAGCTTACTTAAAATAAAAAATTTTTAGATATATATTTTGGGGGGCCACGCCTGGGTGGCTCATTCAGTTAAGCATCTGCCTTTGGCCTAGGACATGATCTCAGGGTCCTGGGATAGAGCCCCACATCAAGCTCCCTGCTCAGCAGGGAGTCTGCTTCTCTCTCTCTCCCTCTCCCTCTGTGTGTGCTCTCTCTCTCTCTCTCTAGCTCTCACTATCTCTCAAATAAATAAATAAAATCTTTAAAAATAAATAAATAAAAGTGAAAATGGAGATCCATGGTTCCAAAATTAACTGACCAGGATATTTCAGTGACCTCCTAAGACTAACCTGACAATCAGGAAACCCAAGGTTCTAACTGAAGCTCTACCATCATATGACCTTGGAGAGCATTAAAAAAAGAAGAAAACAGGGGCACCTGGGCGGCTCAGTTGGTTAAGCATCCGACTCTTGGTTTTCGCTCAGGTCATGATCTCAGGGTCATGGGATCAAGCCCTGTGTTGGACTCCATGCTCATCATGGAGTCTGTTTGGGATTCTCTCCCTCTCCCTCTGTCCCTACCCCCGCTTGCTCTCTCAAATAAAATGTATAAATATTTTCTTAAACCAGGGGTGCGTGGATGGCTCCGTCAGTTAAGCATCTGACTCTGGATTTCAGTTCAGGTCATGAGCGGAGTTGTGGGATCAAGCCCCACATCGGGCTCCACACTTAGTGGGGAGTCTGCTGAAGGATTCTCTCTCTCTCCCTCTCCCTCTGCCCCCCCCCCCGCTCATGTCTCTTTCTCTCTCTCTCAAATAAACAAATCTTAAAAAAAATAAAAAGAAGAACGAAACACGAGTGGAGGGGAAAATCTGACTATGGCATCATTAAGGAGCCAACATCCCAGCGAGAAAGAAGCGTAAGTTGAAGATAATGACAGGGAAACTAAAATCATTTCACAATAATACCTCAAATAAACCAGCTACATTTGTAAAATTTTTCAATAACACTAGAAAAAATTCATTTAACACTATTTTTTAAATATTTTATCACCATTTGTGTCTGAATGGGCTATAATTTGAGCTAGCAAATCCTTTATACCAGTATTCTGCAATATGATCATTTTCTATCACATTGCTAGCTAATGACCCCATGTAGCATTTAACCATTGGAGCCTTAACTTTTTTTCTTTATTCTTAAGGCAATATTTTCAGCCCCCAAAGCTGTTCAGTTTGGCTGCCCACGTGCTGAGACCCTACCAATAACATAGGGAAACACATATAGCAACAGGCTTTACTTAGATTTAGATTTGCTTAAATTTAGATTTGACATATCTTCAATAATACCACAGCTGGAATTCCTGAGCAGGAGCCAAAATAGTCAGAAAGTCTTACCCAAACCTGAGGACCCAGTCTGCCTATGCATCTTATCCTCATGGACAAACTGGAGCAGGGGAATGTTATTCTCCCTCAGAAAAGAGGCCTGGCAACTGACAGGTTTGTTCATGAGACAGTTGTACACATATAACCATGTGATCTGATTGTTATTTGCACATGTCCGTGGTCCTTCTTGTTTGCCTTGTACTCTATTCTAATCCATACATTAGCCCAAACACCTTTTGACAAACTGAACATAATCTATATGAGCCACCTTGGTCTTCTCCAGAGTAAACCAGAATCCTAATGTCTCCCAGCAGTGCTAGGCTTGGGTTCAGAGGCTCTGTAAAGAAGATGGGCAAAATATCTAGAGTTGGAAGCTTCTCAGCTGAATGATCAGCACCTACTACTTCACAGCAATTATCACAACTATAACTGGGGATTTGTTTAATGTCAATCTTGCCCCCTAAGCTCAAAGAGGGCAGGAATCATGTTTGTCTTATTCATCACTGGTTTTCCATAAAAGGTTGCCAGTATGTGCCAGGCACTGTCCTAGGTACTGTGGACACAGCAGTTAATAGAACAGACAAAAGTCCTGGCTCTCTTGGAGCTCACCTTCTAATGGTCACTGATTTCTAAGATGAGATGTTAGGGTCAGGGCCCTGAGAAATACCCGCAGATGTCTGTAAATTTGATTAAGTAATCTCATTTTTTCCATCAAGTTTGAGAATTTTGAAAAGTTACTAGTTTCAATCTTTAAGAATATATTTTTTTAATTTCTTTTTATGAAATGTCCAGAATAGCAAATCTATAAAGACAGAAAGTACATAAGTGGTTGCCTAGAGCTGAGGGAAGGAAGAGGCATTGGGGAAAAACAGGGAGTGACTACTAACTGGATATAGGATTTCTTTTTAGGATGATGAAAATGTTCTAAAACTGATTGTGGTGATAGCTGCACAAGTCTGTGAATATACCAAGAACCAATGAATTGTATACTTTAAATGGGTGAATTCTATGGTATGTGAATTATATCTCAATAAAATGGTTATATTAAAAAAATAAAACAGAGACGAATTTGTAGGGATGAGGAAGAACATTTTAACCTAATGGCCTCCCTTTCCTTGGAGGGTTTTGGGGGTTGGAGGGAATTGCTGAAGAACAAATAAGGTCAATGGAAAAGAGAGCTAAGGAAGCACTGGAGGCTGAGCCACAGTGAGGAAGAAGAATGATTCCATGCGGATTACCGCTATAGGCAATCTTCCTGTAGGAACAGAAAGTCATCGGTGAACTACCCCAAGAGTGGGGCTGGCAGGACAGGTACAACAGAAAAACAAGGGGCAAAAGGTTTGCCTGGAAAACTCTGATAAACACAGTAAGTTTGTTATAGTTATTTTTTTATTCAACTTTTTGTGTGCATATGACTAATTTTTTTGTTTTCCTTAAAAGCAGGTAGAGATCCTATCTCCTGAGTCTCTGATGCAGTGCTATACACTTGCTGTCCACAATAAGGAACTTAAAACATGAATTAATAACTCATGGTTAATAAACATTTACTGAACATTTACTGTATGCCTAGGCATTATATTAGATGCTTTACATTCATTTTCTTTATTTAATTCCAACAGTCCCATGAAGTAAGTAGTATCATCCTTGTGCTACCGAGAAGAAAAAAGAGACTAAGAACATTGAGTAATTTGCCCAAGGTCAAAAAGCCGGTAAAGAATGAGGCCAGGATTCTAGAACAGGTCTGTCAGACCTCCCAGTGCCTAAGCTTTTATCCAATGAACTATCTTTTGACCATCAAAAAATGGATTTTCACATTGACTCTAATATTAGAAGAGTTTTTATTAATCAAATTATCATTTTTAATTGGTAATAAATGGTAATTATTAACTAAGTATCTTTAATTTGGCAAAAACTGCACTGAAATGCATGATTTTTTCTACTTTAACCCCTTACCAATTTATCTCTAAAATAAAACCAAAGTAAAATTTTCAAAATAAATTCTTTTACCTTTCCTATTGCTCAGGTTTTACATTTACAGGAGTTTACTATACATAGACTATACCAAAAGCAATAAGAGTTCATACCAACACTGAGTGAAGAGAAAAATATATTGTACTGAACTACTTTAAAACCTACCATTTTGCACAGAAGATGTACCTGAGTGAGGAGCTTTCTCTTGATTCTCCTTCTTGGCATCCATTGAATCTAAAAAATGAAAGAAAATAGTGAGCAACACTGGAAGGCCATAGCAAAAGTCTAAAAGAGCTCTTAGAAAACCTATAAACTAGGGTGCCTGGGTGACTCAGTCGGGTGACTGTCTGACTCTTGGTTTGGCTCAGGTCATGATCTCATGGGTCATGGAGTAGAGCCCTGCATCAGGATCCGTGCTCAGCAGGGAGTCTGCTTGAGATTCTCTCCCTCTGTCCCTCCCCCCACTCACGCTCACTCTCTTTTTCTCTCTAAAATAAATAAATTAATCTTAAAAAAAAAAGAAAACCTACAAACTAAAACTATTTTCTAATAGGACCCAGTTTTCATTTTATAATTAATATCCTTATTTTCTGCATAGGATTTCACTTTCTAACATACTACGTATCTTACAATTTGCCCATTTATTTTGTCTATTGTATGTCTCATTCCACTCAAATGTAAGCTCCAAAAGGGAGCTTATCCCCTTCTCTCCCCCTCTATAAAATTAAAAAAAAAAAAAAAGAATTAACGTACCCTAGAAATAAACCGCATGCTTTTAAGAGTTTAAAACGTAAGAGGGAAATTGGAATACATGTAATTCAATAGACAATGTAATAGGCAGAGATTTTTCTCTGTGCCAAGCTGAGGAGCTCCAAAAGCACTAGACCTTGTGACTTTACAAATCTAAGACATTATTTTGTCCATATATATATATATACACACACACATATATATACACACACATCTTAAAGGACTCATTTTTTAAAATTAATCATAATACTGTTATTATGCTGAAAAAAATTAACCATAATTCCTTAATAACATCAAATAAGCAGTCAGTGTTCATATTTCCCCAAATGTCTTATTTTAACTGTGTGAATCAGGACCCAAATAAAGTCCATATATAGCAATGGATAATAAGTGTCTTCAGTCTCTTTTGATACTTATAGGCTCCTCCTCCTCCTCTTTTTTTCCCCCCCTTCCTCTGGATTTTTTTTTTTGCTCATGATACCAGTTTAGTTTTACAGTCTGGATTGTGCTGACTAGCTCCTATGGTGCTGGGTTCTGGTCCTTATCTTTTCTCTAAATATAAGCTATTAGTGGGGCACCTGGGTGGCTCAGCCAGTTAAGCATCTGCCTTCGGCTCAAGTCATGATCCCAGGCTCCTAGGATCGAGCCCCACATCAAGCTTCTTGCTCAGCAGGGAGCCTGCTTGTCCCTCTCCCTCTGCCTGCCACTCCCCCTGTTTGTGCTCTCTCTCTCTCTCTGACAAATAAATAAAATCTGAAATAAATAAATAAATAAAAGATATTAGTGTGTTGAGCTTAATCAGATTCAGGTTTGGCTTTTTTTTAAAGATTTTATTTATTTATTTGAGAGAGAGAATGAGATAGAGAGACCATGAGAGTGGGGAGGGTCAGGGGGAGAAGGAGACTCCCTGCTGAGCAGGGAGCCCGATGTGGGACTCGATCCCAGGACTCCAGGATCATGACCTGAGCCGAAGGCAGTCGCTTAACCAACTAAGCCACCCAGGCGCCCAGGCTTGGCTTTTTTGAGGGGAGGAGAGAAGAAGGTGACTTCACAGGTGGTGTTGTGTACTTCTCACAAGAGGCTCCTAATATCTAGTTCTTTCTCTTTTTGTGATACGAACAGCCACAGATGGCTATTGCTTAGATCCATTAGTCCATTAGTGGTTACAAAATGGAGGTATTCTAGGGCGCCTGGGTGGCTCAGTTGGTTGGGTGACTGCCTTCGGCTCAGGTCATGATCCTGGAGTCCCGGGATTGAGTCCCACATCTGGCTCCCTGCTCAGCAGGGAGTCTGCTTCTCCCTCTGACCCTCCCCCCTCTCATGTGCTCTCGCTCTCTCATTCTCTCTCTCAAATAAATAAATAAATAAACAAAATGGAGGTATTCTAATTTTATCATCCTGTCTTTATTAGCCAGAAAACTTGTATAGAAAGAAACCTCCCCTCTTCAATCATTCAATTACCTGAGGTACAAATCACATAGGAAAGTCTCAAGCAACACTTCATTCTTTTCCTTTACTTTCTAATTTTCAAAATAATGAGCTGGATCCCAAGCATTCTCCAGATAACCAGTAAGTTTTGTTCTGCTGTGTCATTATGAACTCATGAATTTAACCATACTTAATGTGTTGCCAATCTAGCACTGTTTTACTCTTATTGATACCCAAATTGTCAAATGACAAGCTTCTCGAAGAAAGATCTATGAATGATACCAGGTATCATTTTCAGGTAACAATTTAAGGTAACAGATCTACTTTCTGGTTATGACTCAGTGCCTCTTCAAGATGTGTGAACATTTGAGATGGATATATAAATTGCTTTCTATTTAAATGATTTGACTAGTACAAAGAAAGTACACACATATTTACTAAATAGTTCTACAGTAAGATTTTCTAATAGGAAAGAAAGTAAAACTGTAAAGGCATGGCTCCTGCTCTAGAGAAGCTGAGAATCTAGTTACAGAGACTACACTAAACACTTGACAAAACTGGGAATAGCAGAGGACAACATTCAGCAGTCAGCCACAGAAAAGCTCCTAAGAGACACAGGACTTGAACTGGATCTTGAAGGAAGAACATGATTTAGGATGGCAAAGGTGTGCAGGATGTATTATAGAAAAGAAAATACAGTTGACCCTTGAGTAACATGGAAGTTAGGGGTACCCATCACCTTCAGTCGAAAATCCACAAATAACTTTTGACTACCCAAAATCTTAAGTACTAATAATCCAGAAATGGTTCACTTGAGAGTTTTTTCAAATTGTCACAAATCTCCAAAAAATTTCCCAATATATTTATAAGAAAAAAATCCACATATAAGTGGACCCATGCAATTCAAACCCATGTTGTTCAAAGGTCAACTATACAACTCAAAAGAGAGAGTGCAAATGAGTGTGGCATATTCAAGGCAAGGTGAGCAGACTTCTCACTAAAGCAAGACAAGGTGAAGCTTATTTATTTGTTTGTTTGTTTGTTTGTTTATGGGGGTGCGCAAAGGAAGAGAGAGAATCTTAAGCAGGTTCCGTGCCCAGCACGGAACCCAACATGGAGCTTGATCTCATGACCCTGAGCCAAAATCAAGAGTCAGTCGTTTAGCCGACTAAGCCACCCAGGCACGCCAGGATGAAGCATTTTTTAACCAATCATATTAGAGTTAGAAGATTTGGATTCTGATTTTAACTTTGTCACAGATTGTTGTATGACCTGTTCACTTAAACTCCCTGTCAGTTTTCTCACTTATAAAACTTGGAAGAAGGGGCGCCTGGGTGGCTCAGTCGGTTAAGCATCTGCCTTTGGCTCAGGTCATGATCCCAGGGTCCTGGGATGGAGACCCGCATCATCGGGCTCCCTGCTCAGCGGGGGGCCTGCTTCTCCCTCTCCCTCTGCTGTTCCTCCTGCTGTTCTCTCTCTTTCTCTCTGTCTCTCTCTGTCAAATGAATAAATAAAATCTTTAAAAAAAAAAAAACTAGTAAGGAAAAACATAATTATCTTTAATAGCTATTCAGTTCTGAAATTCCAATTCTAAGCACTTAACATCTCTTATGACTTTATTTCTAAAAGGACTTTTTTTCAAAAGTTCAGTCTACTAGAAGGTACTCATCCCAAATGAATAAAAATATCATCACGTTTAGGAATTAAATCTTACCTTCATTCACTGTTTGCCCCATGGTATTCTTTTCTGGTACTCTTTCCTACAAGGAGAAAGATCAATTAATGCCTCCTTTTAGCATATTTCTGAAGGGCATTATTATTAGAAATCAGTTATAGATTTAGATCATTTTAATTTATTTCCCTTTAATAAAAAATAAGTTCAGTAGATTAGTAGTTGGCAGGGGCTGGGGAAAGAGGGACTAGGGGAGCGACTACTAATGGGTATGGGTAAGGGGTCTCTTTTTTAGGGTGATGAAAATATTCTGGAATTAAATAGTGGTGATAGTTATACAACCTTGTGAATACACTAAAAACAACTGAACTATAACACTTTAAAAGGGTGAATTTTATGGTTAAATGAATTAAAAGGAGCAGATGGTAAATTGGTAGAGTTGGGATTCAATCTGAGGCCTATCCCAAAACCCACTTGAGCCCATATTATGGAGAGACGGAAGAATCATGACTGTGTTAGTAAAACTTGTAAGAACTGCAAGAGTCAAGTCTTCTAACAAGACAATTACTTGTTCAAAGATCTGTGTATTGTGAGCCATTAATTCATTCATTAATTCAAACTTTTCCTGCATGTCCTCAATATGCCAGGCAATCTACAACAAAGATAAATAATACACTGTCCTTGCCCTCCAACAGCTCCATCCAGGAGCTATGAATAAAAAACACAATATGAGTGCTATAGAAGAGGTATGTACACAGAAATATTTAATATGGCAATTGGATATCCATCTCCCATTACTCTGTGTGCCTGTGGTCAGAACATGATAATGTGTATAACGGAAGATAATTTGTTATTTAAAGAAGCCCATGGAGAACACATTCATTAAGCCACCCAGAACGCCTTCTGCATCTCTGACTCAACAGACTTAAACTCAAGCATCATCTCCTCAAAATTTGCTCCTTCTGACATTTTTGTTTCTCCTACCGACACACTACTCTTCCAGGTACTTGGGATTTAAAACCCCAGGTATGACTGAATGTGTGAAGTTCTCTTCTTTCACTCACACATTCAATCAGTAGCCAACATGCACTCTCTCATTTCTCTTTCCCCTGGCACTAACTGGTTTATACGCTCATTAGCTCCTGCCTGGTCTAATACCATAGTCGCCTAACTCATTTTGCCACAAGTCTTTCCCCACCACAACCTACCCAATACCTGTCAGATACGGACTAAGCTGCTTTCTTGCCAAATCAGCTACCTGCTTCAGTGATTTCACTGACTACTGAATTGAACAAAAAATCTTCTGCTGGGCCTATTTAAGGTCCCTCACAATTTCAAAGCCACCTGACATCTACCGCCTACAGCTATACTGTGGCCTAGTTCAAAACTCATCATGTTGTTCCATCTGCATGGGATACCCTTTCTTCTGCTGCTTCTTGAAATCCTAGCCATCCTTTAAGACCAAACATAAATCCCACCTCTTTCTTAAAGCTTTTCTTGTTCCTTTCTATATCACCACCATCTGTTTCCAGATGTGATATAGTCATGTATTTAACAAATATTTACAGAATTCCTATATGCTTGGTGCTGTGTAGACAGAAGATACACAATCTACTACAAAAGACCTTAGAAATCTAGTGAGAGAGACTTATTAACAACTAATTATCGAACAAAGAATAAAATACAAGCTCTATTAAGAGAGGTAAAAGTGGTGCTCTGTGCAAAGACAAAAACACAATTAACTGGGAATATAAAAGAAGCCTTTTCAAAAGAAGTGGCACTTGAACTGGTCCTTTAAAGATGAGTATTTCAATGAGCAGAGAAGACAAAGAGAGGAATTTCAGGCTGAAGATACAAAATGAGTGGACACTGAAGAGGCTCCTGCCTCCTCTACTTGATTATGAAATGCTAGACTTGCTCAGGTTCCTTCTGGGCTCTTATTTCCCTCTACAGTCTCTCAGGGCCCATGCCTTCAGAAGCCACCCATACAGAGATGATTCACAAAGCATTACCCCCCCTTCTGAGACATCAGCCCTGAAAGTCAGATTGGAATAATCAAATGAATTAAATATTCAATACCACTGTGAGTGAGGATGTTTTCAATTAAAGACCATAGCCGAGTGGCTAAAGAAAAAGACAAAGTGAGGGTGCCTGGGTGGCTCAGTCAGTTAAGCCTCTGCCTTCAGCTCAGGTCATGGTCCCAGGGTCCTGGGATTGAGCCCTGCATTGGGCTCCCTGCTCAGTGGGAAGCCTGCTTCTCCCTCTCCGTTTGCCCCCCACCCCACTCGTGCTCTCTCTCTCTCTATCTCAAATAAATAAAATCTTAAAAAAATAAATTTAAAAAGAAAAGAAAAAGACAGTATTTGAAATATATAAAGGGTGCTGAATCCAAGCAGAAAGTAAAGGGAGATGAGCTGTAATCCAGGTAGGGAGTGAAGGCACTTACCAACTCTAATCAGAGAGCAAAAAGTTGTGAATTACATTAAGTTCCTCTACTATACAAAAGGGGCTCAGTTGAAAAACTGAGGGATGGGTCACACATAAAAGGTATACCCAGGTTCCTATGCCCTTCTTTCAAATCTCTAAACTATAACTGAATTCTTGATCTCAACTGTTATCATTTGCTCCCATTAGTTGAGGAAGTAATCTTATAATCCTAGGAGGTGTATATGTATAGAGATGATTAAAAGTAAATCTTTGAAGACCTAAATAAGTAAATCCATGTACCATGCACACAAGTTGGAAGATTTCTTAAATAGGCATAAAATTGCACAAGCCATAAAAGAAAATATCAATAAACTGGATTTAATAATTTATCCAAAGGCAATATTTAATGAAGATAGAGTGGTATTGGCATAAGAATTGACATACTGACCAATGGAACAGAATAGAGTCCCAAAAGATACACATATATATACATATGGTGAATAGATTTTTTTTTTTTTTTAATTTATTTGACAGAGAGACAGAGAGAGAGCACAAGTAGGCAGAGCGGCAGGCAGAGGGAGAGGGAGAAGCAGGCTCTCCGCTGAGCAAGGAGCCAGACATGAGCTTGATCCCAGGACCCTGGGATCGTGACCTGAGCCGAAGGCAGCCGCCCAACAACTGAGCCACCCAGGCACCCCGTGAATAGATTTTCAACACAAGGGCCAAGGTAATTTAATGGAGAAAGGATAGTTTTGGGGTTTTTTCTTTTTCCAACAAATAGTACTAGAACATCTCCATGTACCAAAAAAAAAAAAAAAAGACAAACAACACTTATCTCAGAAGTTAATACACAAAAATTACCTCAAAAAAAGATCATAAATTTAATGTAAAGCCTGCAACTATAAAATTTCTAGAAGAAAACACAGAGACCTTGTGACTCTAAATTAAGCTATGACTTCTTAAATATGACACAAAGAAGCACAACACATCAGAGAAAAAACTGATACATTGGACTTTATCAAAACTAACAACTGCTCTTCAAATGATACTGTTAAGAAAAGGATAAGCCACAGAATAGGAGAAAATACTTGCAAAATATGTATCTGATAAAAGATCCGCATCCAGAATATATAAAGAACTCTTACAACTCAATTTTTAAAAGGCAAACAGCCCAATAAAAACATAATTGGCAAAAGATTTGGACGATCACTTTGCTAAAGAAGATACACAAATGGCCTGTTAAGCATGTGAAAAGATGTTCAACATCATTAGTATTTGGGGAAGCACAAATTAAAACCACAATGAGATACGACTACATAAAATGGCTAAAATGAAAAAGAATGACACAATACCAAATGTTGATGAAGATATGGAACAATTAGAACTCTCATATGCTGCTGATGGGTATAAAATAATTTTTTAAAAGATTTTATTTATTTGAGAGAGAGTAAAAGAGAGAGCAAGCAAGCATGAGTGGAGAGGGGCCGAGGGAGAGGGAGAAACAAGCTCCCGACTGAGTGCTGAGCCCAACGTGGGGCTCAATCCCAGGACTCCAGGATCATGACCTGAGCCACTCAGGTGCCCCTAAAATAAGTATTTCTATAAAAAAAGAATTTTCTTAGAGTTAAATGCAATGCAAGTATTCTTAACTTCAAAACCAATGCTTTGGAATCCAAACCACTTATTTTAAGGTAGACCCACAGACCAAGGAATAAAATAAATACTATTTATCCCCAGATAAAGACAGGAAGAATTCCAGATCCCTTTAGTTTGAGATTAGCCATATTAGATAAGATCAACTCTTTCAGAGTTTGGAAACTTTTCCTTTTCAATTATGATAGTCACTCAGCACCAGTGCGCAGATGTATCTCTTGTGAATTCCAAAGTCATGCCAAAATAAAGCCTTCAATACACAAAAAGAACTCAAACTGTTTATGAGTGCATGAGTCAGTGACTCAGTAAGCTTTCCCTTTCAGCCCTCATGGTGTTAAAGTGCAGTGAGTTGTTTGAAGACACCATTCAGACTCTTTTTTTTTTTTTTTAAAGATTTTATTTATTTACTTGAGAGAGAGAATGAGAGAGAGAGCATGAGAGGGGTGAGGGTCAGAGGGAGAAGCAGACTCCCTGCTGAGCAGGGAGCCCGATGCGGGACTCGATCCCGGGACTCCAGGATCATGACCTGAGCCGAAGGCAGTCGCTTAACCAACTGAGCCACCCAGGCGCCCCAGACTCTTAACTATAGAGAATAAACTGAAGGTTACCAGAGGGGAGGTGGGTAGGGGCGATGGGTGAAATAGGTGATGGGGATTAAGGAATGCACTTGTCATGATGAGCACTGAGTGATGTATGGAACTGTTGAATCACTATAAAATATTTGTTTTCAAATATTCTGAAATTCATATATTTCCTTGATTTGTTTTTCTCTCCTGACTCTCCCCAGTATTTCTACTATCGAAGGTTTATATTTGGCATATGCAAATGTGTAAATTCTTTTTTTCTTTTTCTTTTTTGGGGGGGTGCCTGGGTGGCTCAGTTGATTAAGCAACTGCCTTCGGCTCAGTTCATGATCCCAGAGTCCTGGGATCGAGTCACGCATCGGGCTCCCTGCTCGGCGGGGGGTCTGCTTCTCCCTCTGCCCTCTTCCCTCTCGTGCTCTCTGTC